TGTAGGTGTCTGTCTGCGTGTGTGTCGAGCGACTGGCATTTTAGCAAGTGCTTTCAGGAGCTCTTGTACTGATGGATGCGCTGGATGCGTAAACGTCGATACTGTAATGTAAGACAGAAGCGCTGATCCACTTCTCCTTCTGCTTCGGTGCTGATCCGTCACTCTATCCTCAAGTCTTTAAGCCAACTGTCTTGTTTCATCTTTGCCCCACCCCTACTCTACTCGCCAGGCCCTACATCTCCCCGGCACGCCCCCCTTCAGAGAACAGCCAATAGGAGACACTGCTGTGGATGATGGGCAGGAAGCTGGACCTCTCGGGGCTGACGCATAAGGAGGCAGAGCACGTGCTGCAGGTGGTGAAGAGGGACATGATGCTGCGCAAGAAGGAGGAAAAGCGCCTCAGGTGAGCTTCTGGACTCACTAGGGAAGCCCTAATTTACACCATGCTGTCACATGACTCATCATCACTCATTGTGACTACTTAATGTAAACAGTGGTGATTGGCTCAGATTGATTTTGGGACAGCAGGTTTTTAATCTGGACCATAACTCTTTGTTAGAACATCTCAACGATGGAGAGAGTATTCTTCTGTTTTTTTTTTTCCAGAGTCAATAAAAGTTCCCTTTTTCTCATGGGGGTGTCCAGGTGAGATTTGCGTTTTGAACACACACGCACGGCCCGGTTTCTCTCAGCATAGGAGAACGTGTCTGACTGGGGCCCGGCCACCGGATCGTGACTGTTATCCCCCTGCTTCGGGTTTTAGGTCTTCACTGCTGCTTCAGGGTGGTTTTCAGGCTGTTGTGTAAAGTCTAGATTTAGGGGATTAGTGACCTGGAACCATGTGCTTCTTTCCCGATCCGCACAAATTCTCAGGGAAGGGATGCGGGGAAGCTGACCCCCCCCCCCCCCCATGTTTTGTTTCAGGCACAGCTGACGCAAAGCTAGTTAATCCAATTAGCGAGGAGGATTAGCTTCTAGTACCTTCCGCCGCTGGTTGACCTTCAGTCCTGACGTACACGAGGCTGATCTGATCCGGCTCGAGCAGAACTTTCAAAACATTTAACTTCGAAATCTGCTGCTTTTATGCATCTACTGGAAATAAGGTGCAATTGGAAGGGCGTCGTGGTTTTTGGCTTGTGATATGATCCAAAACACAAGGGTACTACAAGTACACCTTCCGCTATCTGCCAGGTTGTGGTGAAGTGTACCTCCACATGGATACAAATTACACAAAGTATATCTGAGTGTTGTCTTGCCCTCTGTGGATCATGAGTATGTATTGGGGTCAAAGGTCACCATCCATCCATTACTCTTGAGTCAATTAACAGGGTCATAGTGACCCTTGGATCTATCACAGGAAGCAGAGAGCCCAAGTCAGGAAACAGTATGCCTGTCCAATACTGGACTGGGGTCAAAGATCGCAAGCAGTAACATTATTTTATATTTTGGCCTGCGTTCCATTTCAGGAAGAAAACGTTTCCTGGGTTTCTTGTTTGTCTCTTTGCCTTCCATCTTACCATGGCTGCCCTCTGTCTGTTGTGATGATGTGACAGGTCATGTGATTTGAAAGTTTGCTGTCATTGGTCCACTTAACGATCACCTAGAAAAACATAGAAAAGGCACATTTTTCATAAAGGCAGCCCATAAGTCCGGCCGTTTTGGCTGTAATTAGTCTGACATTCTTGCCCAGTAAAGCTAAGCTAAGTACAGATGGATTAAAATTGCACAATAATGCCCTTATGACTGTGATTACTATCTAAAGCACCCTTCTCTGCCTCCTCCACTCTCCTTTTTCCTCTGTCTGACCCCCGAGACTGAAAAACAGTCATTCGGCACTGAACCCAGGCAGTCTGTGAAGCATGTTGCTAATTTACGTAGACGGGGCCTTGATGGTGGTCAGTACGGTGGCTTTGCCAGAGAATTCAGGGACAGTTTGGAAGAAAAAATTACATTTGGAGTTATTTTCCTTTGAGGGACGTGGATCCGTGAAGCTGTTTGTGGACCTGTTTTTGTTTGGGGCTGTCTTTGAAGTTCACATGCATGTCTGTTACGGCTTAGTTTCTAGAAACGCAGCAGGGAATCTCAAAACAAGTGAAGTTTTGAAGTGTAGGGTTGACCAAAGCTTTGAGCAGACGAGGACTGATCTTCTGCTTGGCTCTCATCGAGTCTGATGCCACCATGAAATGGTTCTGTCTGCTGGATTTAATTGGTTAGTCGTGGAAGTAAGTTAAAAAGATTGATTCTTAGCCCCTGGAGATCCACTTTGCCTAGACAACCTTCCGAGCTTTTTTGTTGGTTCTGACTGTGATCAGTATGTTGGATCTCCCAGCCTTTGAGTGTAGTGCTCCAATTTCCTCCATGAAGGCTGCAGGACTTTGGGTTCCTCCAGCGTTTGTACAGTATCATCAGGCTTACATGTGATCGAAGCTCCTTAAGCTAGCTGGTGCACGGTATCATTAACTCACTGGTGCTTCATCCATCTCAAACGTTCCAGGGTTTTACTCTCTGCCACAGTCAGCTGTCCTAAGTTAGATACACAACGTTAGCAACTTCCTTCATGGGATTTGAACTCATAACCTTCTTAGTTTTGGCTGTCACCTTTTAAGGAACCCTGCCTTACTATTGGGCTCACTGTCCAGATATCGACTGAAAGTAACTTCCCAGATATGATAAAAAGACATCTCACATCACAGTTTTGTAAAGTTTTATGAATTAAATAACCGGCACTCAGTTAAAATAATAATTGGATTAAACGGATTAAATTGGGTCATTAATGCCGAATCAGCCCAAAAGTAGCCTAAGTATATCTGACTGTTGGTTCCGATGAGTGTCAGGACAGTATTTGTGTTTGATGAGCACTGTGGTCATATCAGCTCTTCAAAGTTTGACACATAAGGTTGATTAGCTGCCTTGGGGGATCTTAAATATCTGTCTCATTGATCCTTTGGGTTTTTAAAAGTTCTGGTTTTCCGGAATGCATGCGGAAGTGGAACAGGAAGGTTTTCTGCCCGTGATCCAGCAGAGTGTGGGGAAAATAATGCAGTTTATTAAAATGTGAATGAATCACAGCCTGTGTAGAGACATAAATTGCATCGTTAGGGTAGCTGACAGCGGGATGTCGAGGTGAACAAGCGGCACCGTGAGATGAAAGCAGAGAATCCAATTAGGCGCCTTAATGAAGGTTGGCCCTTAGCCTCCCGGCTGTGTCATTTGGAGCGGCAGAAACAGGGGTGTCTTTCTATGGTGCTGCTGGGGAAAAAATCATGTGAGAAGGGGACTCGTTGAGGAGGAGAGGGAAACACAAACTCCTAGAGGAGAAAACAAGACTCTCTGGGGAGCAGAAACCCATCTGTTGATGAGGGCTGAGCTAAACTTCCCTTTGAGGGACCAAACTTTGCTCTTTGTGACATCATCAGCCTCCATTGGCCAACTGGAGATTCCGGCAAGGTTTCTATTGGCTGTGATCATGGCGATTTTGGAAGGGGCGGGACTGGCGGTTGGTCATATGCTGCCCCTGCATGACCACGCCCTGCTCAAATGGGCAGGGTTAGGTTTGGAGATGTTTGCTGCTGCACCCTCAATTGACCTGCTGTGCTATAAAATATAACTGACATAAATGCTGCTTAAATAGCTCTGAGGGTCTTTTTTAAAAATACAACAGATAAGTCATTAGTATTTCCATTTAACAGACATTTCGGACACTACAGTGCTTGCCCTGCTGGGTGTCTCATTAATGTGTCCTTGAGTGACTAATTCAGTGACCAAATGATTTAGACGATGTGGATCTAATGAAACCTCAAACATGAAAGAAGTTCAGAAGAGCCCTTTTTTTGGTGAGTGTAGCTATTGTCGCCGTTTCTTAGCAACCTGAGCCAGCTTCCCATTGGCTGAGTGTGTATGGCTCCCGCAGTGTCACTTGAGGTCCTGAGAGCATCGTGTCAGTTGATATGAGACACCTTCCTTGCCCGAATGGATCTCCGGCATGAGGGTATGAGGGTGTAGTGTCTTTTGATGATGTCATATCCTGTTTTGCTGGGGATGGTAGGCACGGCTCTCTTCGCACCTGGACCCCTGGCCACGCTGTGATCTGCTCTTTCATTGCTCTGTGAAGCCGGGCTGTCTTTCATCTCTCATTCTGCTTTGTGGTATCACAAACATTCAGGTGTCAAGGATTCCGACTACATCCACCTTCCCAGTCGGTCCCTCCCACGTCCAGGACCTCAGTGTCCCATGTGAATGACACAAACAGCAGCCCGCAGGTCATTACAAATTGCTCCCAGATAACTACATGTGCATTTGGGGCCTCTCAAGGGGGGGTTTCGGACGGCATGGGCTGAAGGGAGCTTTCAGCGCCTTTCCTTCAATGATTCAGCATTTCTTATGCCTTCCTCGTATGCCTCATTGGCATCACATAAAAGCATCAGGAAGGCCCACGCCAGTGGGACCCCGCAGTCGGTGTTGGCTATAGTCCTGCTCCGGGGGGGTTTCCCTTATGCATCATTGACGACTATGCAGCCGCTCCTCTTCACTGTCCGAGATGACAGGAAGTCATCCAGGATTATGGATGTAGGTATTTCGCTATAGGTAGCTAATCGTCCTTGACCAACCTGCCAAAGCCCTTTTTCTTATCTGCCTGCTTACGTAAGGAAATACGATGTCGGTACGGCGATAACGTTTGCTGGCATTTTAATTCCCCGCAGTATCCCGGGGTGCCCAGGGGCCTCTGTCAGGCTCCATGCATTTCAGCGCATGCGTCCGCCCTCGAAGTTAATCAGCTGCTCCGGATGCGCACTTGCGCAAACTCAACACACCTTGTTCCATGGCTCACAAAGGACTCGGCCACTCGGTCAGTGTCCTTGAGGGAACCTGAGAAACATCTATGGAGAGCTAAGCTTCCTCACGGTGAGGCGGTCAGGGGTCATTATGCTGCCTGGTAACCGGCCTTGTGACGGCACTGAAGCACCCTGAGCAGGACTGCATGGACAACGAGCCGCACTGGTACCCTCCAGTCTCATTGTTTGGCGAAGAATAGGACCCCTAGTTGTGTATGACCTGGAGGACCAAAATTATTGCGGGAGGGGCTACTGCTTAAGGGAGGGGCTCCCAACCGAACCTGCATCCATGCTGTGGGATCTCAGGTCTTGGAACTAAGACCTTATAGCATCGGAATTTTCTGCTGCTGATGTTGAGGCATCTTGAGAGGCAGCGTTTTGTTTTTTTGGGGGGGGGCAATAGAGTGTTGCGGGGGCCAGATATCACCGCAGCTGATTTTCTGACTCTGATCCTCTGGAGGGGTGTATTACCCAATTCCCGTTAGCTCAGACAGAGTTAGGTTCACCCACGGCTATTGCCTTACTGTACTGTCCTTTTAGGCTCTGAGATCACATTTCTGCCAACTGCTTA